CATAAACTTTAGCTCGTATTAATAAAGCTCCACCTGGCATTACCAAGGAGCTGTAGATCTATGTATAGCGTGACCCCTAAGCTAACCTAACTTAAGCCTATGAGGTGGAAATTCGATTCATTTTTACTTACACCCAAAATAAATTGTCCAAGTTAGATCATTTCGAGGGCTCTAGATTTGCCTAACCTAATCTGCCTTTTTTTAAGTTGATTACTCTTCGTATAAATGCAGAACATTTTAAGACTATCCGTGGACTGCTGCAAATTAGTTCGAGTGTAGAACTAGTTATCACTTTCCTACAGGGTAGCCACACAAAAGTACTTAATGCTCTATCTCTCTAATGACATCAACTCTCATGAAAACAAATATTAGTTACCAAAAATACATCAGTTGCTCGCAGACTTGTTGGCAGTGCTACACTCAGCGCAGCAGTCAACGGTTATCAGCAACAAGCCGGTGATTTGATAAGCGTTCGAAGCATTTTCAAGTGTTTGCCATTTAGAAAACATCTTGACTTGACTTGCACAATTGTTCAGTGTGTCAACAAAACTGTTAGTTTTTCGCGAGTGTTTGACGCATGCAAATGCAAAGTGTGAACGCGAACGGAAACAATTTCGTCAAAAAGAAATTGCTAGAAATGTGAAAAAAAATTTAATAAGAAAATAAATAAAATTAAGTAAACATAATAATAAAATATCAAAGTGTTTAAAAATAAATAAAATGCCTGCGACAAATGGCGAAAAGTATCACAAAAATGCTGAGATCGTGCAGAAAATATTCAAAACGCCGAATTTACAAGGCTTCTACGACGAGCTGGAAAACGCGGATATGTTCGCCTACGATGACATAGACTATGCAGAGAGCTTAGAACTACAACCAGCGAATGCCTTGACTGTGATGAACCTAAAGGACTGTGATTGGGATCAGGAGCTCCGCATAGCGCCGCTGAGTCAACCCATACAAGCGAGAAATCGCAGCAAAATACAGTTGTCGGCCGGTTGGTGTCCTTTACTCGCCAAACTAGTGAGCATTGATGCGCAAGACTACACGATCGATGTGCGGTCGCAGCAAAGCCTGGCACTGCAAGGCCAAGCGACGGCAGGGGACCAAGCACTGAAACAATTAGACGAAAGTGTCGTCGAAGGCCAAGCTCTCATAGTGCCAGCTGGTGATTTCGGCAGTACGACAAAGCTAACAAGCACAAAAAATGTTGACAAATTAAATCTCAAGGTCGTACGAACTTCGAGTAGTGCCTCTACTCTTTCTGAGCAATATAATTTTTCGATCTCCGCGCACGTATTCCAAAATTTTCTCACTCTTTACCATTGTGATATCTATTTAGCGACGCATATTAAACGCCCATTACGTTCTTTAACCGTATTAGCACCTAAGTTATCAACCCACGTCCAACCTTGCATCGCAAACAATAGCAATGTGGGCGCGCCTGATAAATTGGCGTTGCCACAATTGCGCCCAGTGGCTTATTCATCGACTGAATTCGCAACAAAATGTAAGTTTACAACAAATATAAATGAAATTAATCACCCAATAAAATTTATCGTGTAGTTTTAACAACTCACAGTGCAACGCCAGATTAAAAGTAATATAAAAGGCAACAATAACAAATTATATCAACAATAATAATCAATCGATAAATTATGTGTTATTGACTCATACTGCAGTCTACTTATGGGCTTACACGCATACAAGCATATATAAATAAATAAATATAAGCAAGCAATGATTTTCAAGTGTTGTAGTTATTATATATCCGAATGTCCTACGTCATCGGAGCTCAACCAATTATTCTTATTGACTAGTTCATTAGGTTTTCTCACAAGTGTTGAACAAATAAATAGAAATGTATTTCCTCGTTACTTAAAAGAGTCTTGAATGTGTTACTGAAAAAGAAGAACCGATAATTACGAATAATTATGCCATGTTCAAGCAACTCAACTAGAGCTGAGGTTATTAATTAATCTTGACTTAAACAATTAGTATTTGACGGCGCTTTAAAAAGTTATTTTCTGAATTCAATTTGTAATATTTTGCGCAATTTAATGATTTTCGTCAGGTGGCAATTCTCTATAAAATCTATAACATAAAGAAAAGTTATCGGTTTTTGAAAACGCTTTCTAAAATACCTTATATTTTTTAAAAATTCTCGGTTAAAATTTTTTAAAGGTGGCAACTCTTTCCAAAATTTAAAAACGAAAGTTGCCGATTATGAGGAATGCTTTCTAAGATGCTTTAAATTTTCTAATAATCACAGATTTAGTTTTTTAAAAGGTGGCAACTCTAGTAGGAAAAAGGTTTACGCTTAACAAATATGTATTTTCCAAATTTCCCTGTGTTAAAGAAGTAAGGTTTTTGTAAATGTTTTCTAAAACCCGTTATATTTTGATTAATTCAAGTGTTAATTTTTTGATAGGTGGCAACTCTTTTTCAAAATTAATTTTTTCTTTCAAAAGCTGTAATTGCTTTATTTCTGTAATATTTTTATGACATTTTATTTTATCTTCAAGCATATGCTTCTGCCCTCCTTGTATGGTAAATGGAGCTCAATTATCTATTTGGGTATGGAATAAAAAAGGGTAAGGTAGTGACATTCGTGAGCCATAAATTAGATAGTGGCGGATTTAAAAATGAGTGTATTTCCGCGGAGCAAACCTTTCCAAAAAATTCACAGTAGCAAATGAAAGTTTATAATGATATTTTTTTTTTCCTTACACCAGTCCTTAAAAAATATACCCTTATGAAGATTACCTTTGTAAAAATATAACTAAAATCATTTTTCGTGCTGTGTTATTAAGTTATGTAGTCTTGCAAAATGACAAAGTATTTAGATCTGAATATTAATTTCATAAACTGCGAAGGAGGTTTACTAAACCGCGCTCTTTTCGTTACCAAGACTGAGGTTCTATTACCAGAATTCAATAAAGTGAATAGAAAAGAGGAACTAATTGAACTGCAAGAGAATGTAATCACTTTTTTTTTTTTAACTTAAGAAATTTTTATTAAAACGAAATCGGCACTGAAACAAGAAACTAACTTTATGTTAGAACCCTGTGTTAGCCTTCTATTTGTAAGTTATGGTAAATGTTTTGTTTAATTGGGTTAAACCGTTTATTTTCTCAGCTTTAATCCACTATATTTTTAGCACAAGATTCTCTAGATCCTCAAAATTGCAATAATAGTTAATAATTCAGAGTTTTTAAAAGATAAGTAAATGTAAAAGCACTTATTGAAAATATTGTAATATACTTGAGGATAAGTACAAGCCACCAGACATAAAAAACCAGCCAAATGATGACAAATCAAAGCCGTAAACATTTGAGTGGCCTTGTGAAGGCCAGAGTCTTAGAATTATAGTTGTTATCTCTTATAAAAAGACCAACATTAATTTAGTTTTACTTGCAAAATAGCTTATCTACTTATTGAGTCTAATACAATATTATTGTTCAGCAAGACAATTTTCCTACAAAAGCAAAATATAATTTTTAATCTTTTGATAAGATTGTTTAAAAGAAGGTGTAAACGAAATCTTGTTTTTTTTTTTCATTTATATTATGGTTTTGTGGAGTTTATGAACCGTATAAATTGAACACAACCATTCATTTATTTTTTTGGCTTCATTTTGTTACTTTCATTTACCGGATTTCTGGCCCTCTCTTTGACTTTTCATCAAACATAACCTAATTGTACAATTTTATTTACATTTTTAACATTAACTGTTTTTTTTATATGTATGAGTGAATCAGAATTTCCGACAATAAATGTTGCTGGAAAATATATTTAGTTTTTCTTGCAGTTTATTTTCAAGCCTCGTTTTTCCTCGAACTTGAGTAATTTCTACTAACTTTTGATCCCTTATTTTTAATACCAGGCTAAATCAGTTCGCCAAACAATTTATACCCTTTATACCCTGTTACGTTTGCCACAAAATTTGTAATACCCAGAAGAAAACGTCGGAGGCCCTAATAAATAAATATATTAATTATCAGCATGACGAGTTGACTCGATTTTTTCATGTCCGTCTGTCTGTATTTACTCGAACTAGTCCCTCAGTTTTTGAGATATCAATATGAACTTATGCTCACTTCCTTTTTTTCCATTTGTTGGAACCACCGAAATTGGGTCGCAATACTATATAGCTGCTAATAAACTGAACGATCGCCATTAAGTGCTTGTATGGAAAACTGTTTCATTTGATGAGATATCTTTAAGAAATTTAGCATGGATTATTATCTAAGACAATGGTGCAATCTCCGAAGAAACTGTTCAGATCGAATCACTATAGCATATAGCTGTCATACAAACTGAACGACCCAAATAAAGTTCTTGTAAGGAATATTTTGTATTTGGGAAGGGTATTATACTTTATTTAAGACAAGCTGAAACAAGGCTAAGCATCCCTTTCTGACACTATTAATCTCACTATTATCGCTTCCTTTAATAATACCAACCAACTTCCGAATCTTACGACGGATTGAACATAGTATCTATATCATATATCATATCAGCCTCAAGATTTTAAAATCATTACTAAAAGTCTGCTTGTTCCCTTATTTTTAAAATAATATACAACTTAAAATTTATTTTTTTTTAATTTCTTATGTCTTTCTGTATTCAAAATCTCATTCATAAATATATGTTATTGTAAAGAAATTCTACTGAACTTCATTCTTTGAATTTTTTTGTTACAATTTGAAAATATTTTTTTCCAATTTTATTTAAAAAGCTTTTCAAAAATAAATAAAACAACTGTTTATCACCAATTTTTGTAGCAGTTCCATGTGTGAGAGTGTCTATTTTGAGATACTTTATATACCGTTACACAATATGGTGGCGTTCTTACAAATGTTACATATGATCTATAGTTCCTACAAGATAAGTGAGTGAAAGCGGAGATGAAGCAGACAAGAAAGACACAACTTATTTTATATTAAAAGAAAAGAAAATTTTAATTAAAAAGATATTCAACTCCTTCTTCTTCACAGGTCAAATGCTTATGAAATGGCTGATTTCATCGCTGCAACAATCGGGCAGTAATCTCAATGAACAAGACTTAAATAATCTAACAATACAGTATTGTAACAATCTAATAAATGTGGGTGTGTTAAAGCAGATCTCCGAGGAAACGGATATTAAAAACTTCAGTGTAAGTATATAAATGACATAACTCCAAAATTTTATTTGTAATATGCAGGCGCGCAACAGACACCATTTAAAGTCGAACTGTAGTAAAGTTTAATGCATATTAATTACCGTTGAGTCTAATGAAAACTAAGTTGTAGAAAAGAGTATTCGCATAAAGTGAGCGAAAATAAACTAAAAACTGAAAAAAAAAAAAAATAAAATAAAACGCAACCATCACTTCCTGCCACAAATTAAAAATTGATATTCCAACGTTCAGTGACTTTTGCCACTGCACTTAGAAAACTTAAAGAAATAGAAAAAAACGGTACTTTTAAGAATTAAAAAACTTATCAACTCCTTCAGCGTGAGTGAGCCATTGCTACAAAAATGCAAAATACTCAAAACAAAAAAAAAAGGAAAAATACAAATCCTTTGCTCAAGCAAGAATGCAACCAAACTTTTTAGAGTACTTTGAAGTTGTCAAGGCGGGCGCACCAACGACCAGCCAGCCAGCCAACCGACTTAGTTACTTGCCTTCGAGTGTTTTGCACTTCCTACAGCTTCGATTCATGCTAAACTATTCACACAACAGCAACAAGGTGTGCTGCATAATGTATGAACGAAATTGTTGAGAATTGGAGGAGACTTTTTTCAATTTAACTTTTCTATCCATATCCATTTCTTCAAAAAAATAAAAAAACAATAATTCGGTCAAAGATCGGCTCAGATAGGAACAGATCCACGTCTAATTGAAAGATCTTTGAAACTCGAAACCTACGCTATAGAATAATGATTAAGTTCAAGTCAACCTTCATTAGCTTCAATATTTGGCAGACACTCAGTGTATTGAATTCTAAGGTCTCAATTTATGCCTAATATTATATTTTATTATATGGCCGTGGCGACTAATGAAACTTTAGAATGTTTCCTCCAAAAACTGTTGCTTTTCATCAGGCATCAGGTATTGCCAAGAGTATATTTCTGATTTAAAGAAACTTCTCACAACAGCTATCAGCTAATCAGAAGCAGCTATAAGGGATCTAAGAGCATCTAGAAATATATATTTGTCCAATAACAGCGTAACGCATCCCAAAAGAAACTCTCCAAACATTCCGACTGTATATTTTATTTGTTAGAGGAGCCATTCTAAGGCTCATTGCTTAGGGCCGAGATCATCTAGTACCACATTTTAAACTTACTTTTATTTTTCTCTTCCATGTTTTATATAATTCGTTCGAGTTTGGAATTAAAAAAATTAGTTTAAAATTAATATTTAGTAAGTTAAGCGAGTTTAGAGACCAAAACTGCGTTTACTTTGGAGCGCACCTTGTAGAAGAGTTATGACAGTTAAGCGCGCACAGAAACTTAGATAGCTTTAGCTGACAAACAAAAAAAAAACGAAAACGGTCACAAGGCTATGAAAGGTTGTTGCTGCCAGTGTTGTTGTGATTAAGTGTCATTAACAACTGTGCCCAGTTTCAAGTGTCAATTTTTTCTGAGCTGCTTCTTTGCTCCTTCAAATGTTTATTCGTTTTACTCCTTTCATTTTGTTCTATTCCATTTTATTTCGCTTGATAACGGTACTTTTAATGCAAATTCATTGAGTGCAACGCTGCATAGTCGCTTTCAATGCTTTACAGCAGTCGGAAAGCGTTCTTAAAGATACACTCTCCTACGCCGAGGAATGTTTGTCGCAGATTTTTAAGTTCAGCAACATTGCGACCCCAACGCTTTCAACGAGTCTGTGTTGATTTTCGGCGCAAAAAAAAATAGCATTTTCCATTTTAGATTCAATCTAAAGAAATGACTTCGGTGCTTTGCTTTTAGCACTTCCTGAAATTCACGCAATTTTTAGAGTGGTTAAGACGAGACAGTGTAAATTTTGAACTGGACAGTAAATAAAGACCGACAGCTTGATGAATGCGCAATTATTAAAATATCTTCGAGTTTTTCGCTTCACAACTTTCGGTTGAAAGAGAGGGAGAGAGAGAAACGAAAAAATCAAATATGCATCTGAGTAATGTAATTAAAAGTTCGAAACGCGTAGTTGATTTTTTATGTAAGACTTTAATGCTGAACTTTATTCAATTACATGCATTTTTATCCGATATGATTAGAAAGACAAGTTACGGCTACAAACCAGAATGATTATCACACAAATTATATATCTATGTGTAACACGATTACAACTTTCTCAAACTCCCTTAATCCACCACATAAAGTGCACACAAGCTACGCGCCCACTTTAGTGTGGTAGCTACGGTGTACATGTGGCTAGACTTCGCTTTCGTTTGTCCGTGTCCGCTTAGCGCATTCATCGCTAGCTCAATCGATTACATAGTCAAGCAACAAAGTTAATAAATCAAATGACAGGTGACTTCACGCCAATTTAGTCTGTTAGTCTGTTGAAATAATTAGGAATACGTGTTCTACGTTTTTCATTGGCCCTTTTGGCTTTTATCACCGTTAAGCGTCACGTAGACACAATAAAAGAATAGCGAAACTTATTTACAACTGTTAACATCTAACTGCAGCAAGGATAATGAAATAGCATTAAAGTTGAAAGAAAACGTGGAATATGCGGAAGTGATTTGTAGATGAAGTAGGTAAAAGTTAAATTAATAATTAAGCAACTCGACTAATATTCAACAAGGAATTATCTTCAATAACTGCAGATTGTTATAGCCATTATGTCATTGTGGCTGTTTTAACAAATTTTGGTTTTGAAAGTGCCGAAAATGAAAGAGTGGGCATATTATATCTTAAGCTACTGTTATATTAGCTCTTAAGCTACTGCAGTCAAGATTTTCTCAGCTTAGACAACATGTCGTTGAAATAGCTTTAGAGTATGCTGGCGAGTTCACAATCTTTAGGCTGAGTTTTATACAATTCCATTACGGCCACACAGAACCGACTTTAGTAGTGGCTTGCAGTTCAATACTATCGAGTCCCAGAAGTGTTCTATATTAACGCATTCAAAATAAAGTTATATTCATATTTCATAGACTTTTTATAGGCAACGGCCAATAAATATTTTAGCCTCCATTAAAACGCGTGGTCGCGTGCCTTAAAGTTGACAGTTGAGTTTAGGAGACAGAAAAAAATTGAACGGAACCAAATCAAGCATTTCCAAAGATTCGTTGTCTTGCACTATTGGTCGAGAGTCACCCACTGTTGCCTTTCGATACGTTTGATCTATATAATCCAGCTTACATAGCCTATACATCAAATTGTCACTAGGAACCAATTTCTCTTATTTGATTCGTCAAAAATTAGCGAGTGGCGAATAAAACAATCAACTGATATAAATTCAGCTAATTGGTATAATCAAATAGCGATGGAATAGTAAGCGATTACAGTGTGCCAAACGATTTTTTCGATGAGTGATAAGAAAAAAATGTGTTCTTCATTTTTCGAAGTTAGCCTCTAAAATCTAAATATTTGATTTCGAACTTCGAAATTACACTTATTAGAAAAGCCCATATTCATTATACTGTGTAAGTTCCGAAAAAATTTACTATATGGACATCATCTACATTTTCCTCTTATTTCAATGGTGTATAACATTTTTCGGTCAAACTTATAAGACATATGCTACAAAGTTTTAATAGTAAATTGTCTTCAGAGTCACCGTATTTTCCTTAACTGGCCCCAGCTATTTTTTCCTGTTTTAAACGATCTTAAAAAGAAATATCACACTGAAGGCAAAAGACAAATCGTACTTCAAAATTTGCATTGAAAATTTCTAAGATTGGTGTATCCGATGTCCTCGATGGTACCAATGTTGAAACAGCTTCAGGTGTTGGCAAAACGTTACATTGAACTAGGAAAGGTAATGCTGTTATGTCATCCATTTAAGGCAACAGCATACAGTTATTAGAAATATATACATTCTGAATTTCATTAAGATTTCTTACATAATAACCGATAGATGCGTTATAAATTTAATCGAAAGTTCGAAAATATTTATAATAGGTGTATGGCGGCTAAGGGAAGTGTTCACCCGATTTGACCCGGTTTTGGCACAAGTTAAAGTGCGATTTCAACAATTTGTGGACGTAAGATGAAATACCTTTGAGGGTACTATTTGTGTAAAGTTTTATTCTGATAACTTCATTGATGTTGGAATAGTATACTGTAATGTAAAAGAATCTGATGGAATTTAAAAATGTGTCATATGGGAAGTAGGCGTGGTTGTCATCGCATTTCGCAGTGTACAAGCATAATAGGAATGTTTGAGTGAGCTCACACACCAAATTTGGTTGAAATCAATCAAGTAGTTCCTGAGATATAGAATTTTACCTAAAGGTGGGCAGTGCCACGGCCATTGTTCAATTTTTTACCACTCCTCCTATAAAACCCATCCTTAGCATTATGCTTGTGAAATTTATTGTTTGTGGCGCAATTATTCAGTGAGTTGTCGCGCTTTTAGCGGTTTTCAACATTACCGTTATATGGGGAATGAACGTGGTTAATATTTGATTTGAAGCATTTTCACAGAGTTAGAAGCGGTGCTAAAATAACTTCTTCTCAGTAGGCTTGGTTGATATAGCTTTAGCGGTTTAGGAGATATAGACATTAAACCATTTAGGGAGCGGAGCCACACTCCCTTTTACAAATTTTTATCACACAGGTATCCGTGGCTACTGCGATCTCCTCTAATAAATTTTAGTTTTGTGTTTTAATTTAGTACTTAGTAATGGCACTGAATAGATTTTCGTTGAACTGGGTCTATTTTCGAAGTTATCTTTTTCTAGAGGGTCTCTACGAGCAACGGTGATTGTAAGAAATCGTATTATCTGAAACAATGTTAAAAAAGAGCTTAAACTACATTAGACTTGTTAGTAAAATATGTATACATATTTGTAGCTTTAAATTAATTTTTCGCAAAATGGCGGTTTAATATAGAAAACATTAAATTTTTGATAGGTAAAAGAGCAGTAAACTGTTTCTAAACAAATTTTTAAAATTTTTATTTGTTTAAAAATAATACTGTGAAGCTAGAGTTAAAAATTTTAGATGAATACGTCTTCGAGTAAACTATTTGTTTCACCTTTTTGCTAATTTAATAATGTTTGTTAAATCCTACAGTGTACTTTAAGCATTCATTTCAAAATTTCATCGCAACAACGAAACAACTGCAATTAACTTATTTCTCTTAGCTTATCAAAGATATCTAAATAAATATGTATGTATTTTGCACTTATCGAAATACAGCTATAAGTATGTATTATGCATGTATGAATATAGTCGTATATGCTCACACGGATATTACTGAATGGGTAAGACATTTGAGCCACCAGCCACCATCAATGAACACAGTAAATAACTCCCATTCAGCCTCTCAAAGCCACTAAACACTTTTGAAGAATCTTCTCCCCCCTCCAGACACACACTACACACGTTCAGATTTTAAGAGCTTCGCGCATAAAAATGCAAATCAAGTTTAAAGGGCAAGTTACGAAAAAAATGAATAAAAAAAAAAGCACACACGAACCTTTAATCGCATTTCACACCATTTGTGAAGAGTGTTTACACACTGTTGATAATTTGCACTCTGCAAACAAGTGCACAAACAAACACAACCACATGCAATTGTGGCATGTGTGTGTGTGGCTGTGCATATGCAACGGTAAATACAAACATTTGTATGTGTGGGTGTTTGTGTGTGAAAAGTTCAATGCAAAGTGTTGGAGTATGAAGCGGCTGTTAAACCTAAAATGCGCCACAAAAAGCGGTAAACAAACACAGATATGGACGGTGTATGTGTGTGTGTGTGACGAAGCATATGGAACCATATACAAACATTTATGGACACATACATATGTATTTAGTGATTCTGTATTAGCAATTTTGTAATTGGAAGGTGAGCGACATGACGCATACATCTACTTTGCACACTCACATACACATGAACATAAAAATATATTGGACAGATTTACACCTCAGCAGCTATTAGCCTTTTAATACCAAACATTTTTCCCCTCATTCCCCCACATTTCGTTATGCCAATCAACGTTTTGTGACGTTTAACTTTGAAAAAGATTGCATGACTTCATGGATCTACACAAATATACACCTGCATTTACAGTTATACTAACATATACACAGACATTTATGTAGAACGGGAAAACAAAACAAACAAAATCATTAGCTACGATTGCACCGAAGCTGTAATACCCTTCACAAATACAAAGACTCTTTACAAGAACTTGATTTTGATCGTTTAATTTGTATGACAGCTATATGCTATAGTGGTTCGATCTGAACAATTTCTTAGCAGATTACACTATTGCCTTAGACAATAATCCATGCCAAATTTGTAGAAGATATCTCGTCATATGTGAAAGCTCTCCATACAAGCACTTTATTCTGATCGTTCAGTTTGTGTGACAGCTATATGCTATAGTTGTCCGATAGCGACGGTTCCAACAAATGAGCAGTTCTTTGATAAGAAATGGACGTGTGCAACATTTCAGACCGATAGCTCAAAAACTGTGAGCCTAGTTCGAATATAACCAGACGGACATTGCTAAGTCGACTCCGCTCGTAACGCTGATTATTTTAAATATACTTTATAGAGTTTCTGACGTTTCCTTTTGGGTTTAGAAACTTTGTATTAAGCTTAATATACTTTTTAGGGTATAAAAAATATTTGTAGATACACGAGTATTGCCACTCACACACACACACACCTGCATACCTCTAGCTACATATTCGTTAGCGCGCAATATCCTTTGCCTTGTGCCGTTGCATATTCAATCCCCTCGGCATTAACAATTTGGCTTGGCAAATTGCTATGCGCTTCTCCGATACTTGGAGCGCTTTCCTGCTTCCCTCTTGCAGCAGCTTTCATTTGCGCGACGGCTGTTGCTGCGCTCTTTGTGCAATTGTAAGTATGATGTTGCTAATTTTTTCGAATTTTTTTCTTTCTTGTTGTGTTTTTTTTTCTCCTACCCTTTGCCTATTTCGCGCGACACTTCTGAGTTGCAGATTCTTACACTGTCCCCTGTTGGCTTATCCTGGTTGTGATTTTCAAACTTTTTTGTCACAAGTGCAAAGTGTTGCATAACTTCAGGTAGTGTGAGGCAATACCGTTTGAAATGAAATTTATAAATTTTTTGCTTTGACACAGTTCAATTATTTTTTTAAGAATTTAATTTTCCACACATAACATGAAGCGATTCATGTAATGGCGTCTCAATTCCTTCTTAGAAAAATCTTACAAACACATATGAAAATTTCCTTCCTGTCATGTGCCTCATCTGTCAGAGCTTCAGGTGTTGAAAAGTATATAAACTCGTAAAACTAAACGTCTGGAAACTACAGAAAACAAATGTGGCAACCCTTTGTTGGGGCAGATTGGATATTAGATCTACATATTATACAAGTATATAGTCTGAGGTCTGTGCTATATGCTTGATCGAGCTTCTTGTTATTATCCTTCAAATACATAGAAAGATCGCAGCACTCTCTGTTGGGTTTTCGCGGTATAACGGGATTTGTTTTATCAACTATGTAATGTAACTATGTAATATAAAGATATGCTTCAAATAAGCTCTCTGTACTAAAGAGGCTGAAAAGTTCGTTTCGTTTCAATAATTAGACGCCAAACCTAATCTTACCCTTCCAAATACACTCATATATTTCATAATCAGACAATTAGTTCGTGAGTTATAGACTTTTGAGTAGGGCAAGCCATAGTGTTGTGTATTAACTACAAAAAACTTTTTTGTTAGAAATGTACTTCAGATACCAAAATGTGAATTTAGAAGTTATATCCCAGCTTAGCGTTAGGCGGAAAGATTCGTAAGTGATTTTTAAAGTCCGTAATGACAATACGAGCACCGAAGTTCGTACTCTCGCAATGAACGCCAAAAAAAAAGGCGGACGATTACCGAGGAAATTTTCTAAAAATATAAAAAATGGCTCTGAACGACAGCAAAAGATGCGAGATAACTAAAGATAGTAAAGAGTTGAGTTGAACATATCCGTTATGGATATTTAGGTATGATAAAACTCTGATCAAAGCGGGTGCCGCGTGAGTTTACAATAGAGACAATGCGATGTGTTTCAAATCAATAGAAACGATGGCAAATTGCTTCCAATTGCTTCTACATGCATCATCTTCTCCGGATTTGGACGTAACAACTTTTATCTGTCCTCAAAAAAAATTATCGCTGAAAAGAAACTTTCGACAAAGAGCAGGTAGTCGAGTTTTCAACCCACATGTTATATGACTTAAGTCACCTCAAGTCAAAATTGCTGCTATTCTAACAAACTTATTCGAGACTCGAGGCTTTGCTTTATCGCGAAGAATAAAGTCAAAGGTTTTGTTTCAATAAAACAAAGATTGATAAAGAAGAATTGTTTCGGACTTATAACTACAAATTAAGATACATATGTTAACTTAAGAGTTGGTTGATTGATGATGAGATTCATTGATTTCCATATCGGTATCTATCAGTATTTTAACCCGCACTGCAAAAGAGATGATACGCAGAGTTTAACCTGCCGAAAGAAAGGGAGTTTGCAAATGTTCTTTGTTGAACTATATAAACTAACCGTATGGTAATTTTCTCTTTCTGCAGCCTTATTATATGTACCAATGGACCCATACAGAGGCGCCAACCACATCTGTGCCTCTGACGCCTGGCAGACTGGACACAGTCGCAGTTTGGCCCCATTGCAGTACACCCAGCACAGTGCCGCGCATACCAAAAGGCGTACAAGTGGATACCACCACAGGTGATCTCACATTTCAACAGAATCTCCGCAAGCGGCTGCTTGCCTGTGGCAACCTAATCGAAGTGCACACGGTGGTCAACGAGTTGCTCAATGTTAACGAAATGACACGGCGTCCATCAAAACGCTGCATAGAATTAACCGATCTTCTAAATGCTAGTGAAGCGACGATTTACGAAATTGAAAAACCAATAGTAGCGCCAGCTAGCGTTGTTCCTGCGATACCCCGGCAAGCTCTACAAGATATAGCAATACAGACTGATGAAATATTAGTGACGGCTACAACCACTTGTCTGCTATGTAAAGTGAAAACGAAAGAAACCAGTGATCAAGAGATGCAAACGGAAGCGGAAGAAGCGCCGAAAGCGCCTAAACCTCCACCACCGCCGCCACCGCCATTCAATGCAGCACTTGCACCACCACCACCACCACCGCCTCCTCCACCAGCGCCAACATCATCAGCACCGGCACCACCACCACCTCCTCCTCCGCCGGGCATGAATGCACCGGCACCGCCGCCACCACCACCACCAGCGTTGGGAGTTCCTGCAGCCGGTCCGCCACCACCGCCGCCACCTGCGTTGCCTCCTCTAAACGTCTCAGCTATGCCACCACCTCCGCCACCCGGCGCGCCAAAACCACCTTCCTCTGCCACGCCAGCCCCACTGCCAAACCCGACCGAAGGCGCTTGGTTTCACACCACGAATAGTAAGTAGTAAAATTATTTTGAACTATTTAAAATTTTAAATTACTTCATTTATTTTTTCCTATCAGCTCTACGAAAGACTGCCGTTAACCCACCCAAACCGATGAAGCCGCTTTACTGGACGCGCATAGTTACGAATGCGCCACTACCTAAACCGCCACCGCCACAAGCCAGTACAGACTCTAGCGGTAGTGGTAGCTCACCAGACGATGCCGTGGACTCAGCGACACCTAAAGAAATCTGGCAAGAAATTGAAGAGACAAATCTCGATAATATCGACGAATTTACCGAACTTTTTTCGCGACAGGCAGTGGTGCCCATCAGCAAGCCAAAAGAGAAAAAAGTGGTGCGTGTAAGGGCAATGAAGGTGCTGGATAGTAAGCGTTCACAGAATGTCGGTATTGTGTCGCGGAGTCTGCATGTTGACTTCTGTGAGATCGAGCACGCCATCTACCACGTGGACACATCGGTGGTAAGCTTAGAAACATTGCAACAGATTATTAACATTAAAGCGACAAATGAGGAATTGGAACTCATCAAGGAGGCGGCACAAAGCGACATACCGCTAGACTATCCCGAACAATTTTTACTCAAAATCTCACAGATCTCAATGTCTACGGAGCGCATATCATGTATTGTCTTCCAAGCTGAGTTCGAAGAGGCCGCCACGGTAATTGCGCGAAAGCTGGAAGTTGTCACACAACTTTCACAATATCTATTTGAGAGCGAAGACTTAAAGCTTGTTTTTGCTATAATACTGACGCTGGGCAACTATATGAACGGTGGCAATCGGCAGAGAGGACAAGCGGACGGATTTACATTAGAGATTTTAGGCAAACTCAAAGACGTTAAGTCGAAGGAGTCAAATACAACGTTACTACACTTCATCGTGCGTACCTATATAAGTAGGCGACGAAAGGAAGGCGTACAGTTGCTGGAAATGATATTACCTATACCCGAACCCTCGGACGTAGAGCGTGCTGCACAAGTGGATTTCGATGAGGTTAAACAGCAAATAATGGAACTGCATAAGAAACTTAAAGGTGAGTGGGTTGAAAAAGCATGAAAAACTTATTAAAAAACTTAACACCCAGAAGGAAACGTCGAAGACCTGATAGAGTATTTATATATATATATGATCAGCGTGACGAGCTGAGTCGATTTAACTATATTCGTCTGTCCGTCTGACTGCATATACACGAATTGGTCCCTCATTTTATAAGATATCTATATATCGAAATCAAGTTCGTGTATGGAAAACTTTTTTATTTGACGAGATATGTTCAAGAAATTTAGCACGGATTATTTTCTTGTTTACTTATAATACTGACATAAATAATATATAATTTATTCCTTGTAGCTAATCAAAAAACCACTGAACGTGTTGTAATCGCCTCAACCCCCAATACTTTGGAACCATTTAAGTCGAAAATGGAAGAGTTTATAGAGAGCGCCACCAAAACGATTGATAAACTTAACAAAGATTTGGATGAATCACGTTCGACATTCATCGAGACAATGCGTTTCTATCATTTTACGCCCAAATCACGTGCACTGGAGCAATGCACGCCCGATCAGTTCTTTGAGTATTGGACCAATTTCACGAATGACTTTAAGGACATATGGAAGAAGGAGATAGCCACATTGTATGACGACTTGTAAGTTCGTTGCATGAAAACCATAATAGAACTAAAAAAATAATCCACAAAAAAACAATTTTTCAATAAATTTTTTAATTTTTTTTAAGGTTACGCAAGTCGAAACAGATACAAACACAATCACGTAAGAAGGTGAAAACGACAAAAGTGACACCAGGCTGCCTTAAGGAACGTATCTTGCGTTTGAGTAAAAAATAAATTTGCATAACAGTTGGGTTTTTTTTTTATTAGAATGAGAGAAAACTTGTTAGATATATAAATATTTTACGAAAGCATTCATATATACATTAATATTGCTCTAAAAGCTTTTTACGCATTGTATTTATTATATTTGTAATATTAGCTAAGTAGCCTTATATAATGATTAGCCTTTAGACTAAATTAAGTTTATATAAGAAATATTATTTTTGTTCTTTTTTTAATCTACAGAAAATATTTAATTCGAAATTGTTAAATAAAAATGCTTACATTAAAAAATTAACAAGAGAAGTTTTTTTTCTGCAGGTTAATAATGTGAGTTGAAGTAATGCCACAGAAGCTAGTCTCGGAAATTATTGAGTTTAGAGTCAATAAATTATTTTGTATTTTACTTTTTATATTATAATAAATATTATATTTTTATTTTTATTTAACCCAGATTTCTCTCTCTATGGAGTTTTCTTAAAGTTCTAAGCAATCTCTAAAGACCTAATAAATAATTTTGTGAAAATCTTTCAAAAAATATCTCATTTAAAGTACTTGTGGACGAAGTAAGGGTTACAGTGACACCCTCTATTCACACTGTTAAAAAATCATTAGGTGGAACATTTAAAGAAGACAGTTTTTGCTATAAAAGTCTTATTAAGTTCTGGAAGAAGGTAATAATCGCAGTTCTTTATAAACATTTTGGACTAAATATATGAAATTTTGTTTAACCTTGTTAATATGATTAAACACACTTAACAACACATACGAATATGTAACGATATTTACATAATAGCACAATGAAATATTTTATACATATAAACCACTTTTGACTAATTCTGATAGGACCAAATGATTTCAAAATCTCTGCGAAAGATAAAACAAAATTTATTTATACGCATAAAACCAAGTGCCAAATAAAATTTCATATAATTGTTTATTTTATTAAAATTTAAAAAAAGATATATACATTTTTTGTTAACATAATACATGCTTATTTCCATAATATTATAATATATTTTAAATATTATACGCTTCTGAAGTATACAATTTGCAAAACTACTTGACAAACTTAACTTATCGAAAGAAATATGCAGGAATAAACTGTTCCTGCTGCATCCTGTGTTGCCAACTCTATTTCCGTTCCAAAACGTAATATTGTTTTTATATTGTACATATATACACATCCATACAAATATAATAACATTTCAAGCTCAATAAATTTTTCATGCGCTCTGGCAACACAAAAACAGCTGTTTGACATGGTAATGAATCTTTCGTAAATAACAACGGTTTCCAAAGTAATCATTTAAAAATGCGAAAAACTCCTTATTTTCGCAGGGAGTCGAATTGAATTTCATACATCAAAGTTATGCTAAATATACATTAAAAGTGATAACAATAATTCCTTAGTGTTCCTAGTTGTTCCAGCGCTATTTTATGGAATAACAGAACAAAAATTTGCTAGTTGTAAAACTTCTATGCCTATTTATTCTGTGCTTATTATTGGAGAACTAGAAGGTTCTATCATATTTAAGTCGTCTTATATTTCAATGAAAACCTTTATCAAATTATAAATATTCTGAACATACATATATATAGAATGCAACAACACCAGTCAGTACGTTTGAACAGATTTGCTGCAAGTAAGCATGGCGGCTAGCGAATTGCACTTTTTAATCTACAACATGTGTGTTAGGTTATATGTATATAGACACACATCCATACATAAATGTGTATGTATATGTACATACATATATTAATTTCACTAACCTTTATTGGTATCCAAATGCGAGAATATATGACTCCAATCACGCATTTTAGTTTTAGCAAAATTGGAATATTAATGCAATTATAACACACTTAAAAACACACACACACACGAATATATCACGCGAATTAGACACAGAATAAATTTTTTTATTTACAAACGAACTACTTTCCCGACGAAATCGAATGATTTAAAAATGGCTCCGGAAGTAACGCCATAAGAGTGAATTTATAAACACAATTTAAACGTTTAAAACCTAACCAACAATTGGAATATCATATACTGCTTATAACACGAACATCACTTTTACAATATTATACTATATATTTTATATAATACTACACACTTTTTAACTATAAAACATACGAAACAAAAATTTACGAATTATTACTTGCACTTACCGACGAAAAACTTCTGCAAATGAACGATTTCCCGTTACTTCCTGGGCTGCCACCACTTCCGTTTCGATATGCAATATTGTTTCATAATGAGCTTCACTCAAGCTAAATAAATTTTTTATGCGCTCTGGCAGCTCGTGCAGAAACAGCTGAGCAGTCATTGTAGTGAATTTTTCGTGGTTAACAAAAAAGTTCCGGAGCACGCATTTTGCGGCAATTTTTGCAAATTAACTTGGTTTTAAATGCATTTACAAGCACAAGATTGCATAAAAAAGAAACATATAAGAATTCGAATCGAGTTGAAATCTTGAATACACTAAAGGTATGTAAAATACATATTTATTGTGTCCTATGTTAAAACGCGCACAGGTTACTGTTTACAAGCACCAATTCCAAATTAATATATTTATTTCATTACTTCACTAGCGCTACAAAATGTCTCGCGTAGTACGCCGCAAACATGTGCTCAAGGAAATGATGGAGGATGATTTCGAATTGCCCACCGAAAAACAACAAATTGTGCGGGTGGTCAGTAGTCGTGGCAATAATCTGCATGAAGTGGAAACACCCGAAGCAAATGCGGAAAATTTCCTAGCATCTATGCCGAATAAGTTTCGTAAAAATGTTTGGGTTAAACGTGGTGATTATGTGCTTGTGGAACCCATCGAAGAGGGTGACAAAGTGAAGGCAGAAATTTGTAAAATCCTCACACCAGAGCACATAAAGGAATACACTAAATCAGGTGTATGGCCAAAAGCGTTTGGCAAAAAACGTGAACATGACCAAGTAGCAATGAATAGCGACGAAGACACGGACGGTGATGACTTGTTAATGAGAAATCCCAATAGGCCGGCGCGAACACAGGAAGATAGTGATAGCGATGCAGAGGATGATGAAGAGGAGACCTCAAGTGATGACGATTAAGAATGTCTTGCAGTGTTATGTATGATAATTACTATGCTACTGCAACCTTTCCACTTCTACCAACAACAAATGTGTACGTTATTATGCTATCAACTAATTTGCGTTATTTTTGCAACTGCGTATGTATATTATAAACTATTTAGTGCAAATTATTTCAGTAATGTTAATTGAATAGATTGCTAGGTTTCAATAAATAGGAGCGAAACGCAACTTTTTCTGCATTGTTTTTTTTCCAAATTTTGCTTTTATTTGCATTTTTATTCAAACTCTGCAATGCTTAAGATGCAAATGTTACTTAAAGTGTAAAAATCAGTAAAAAGTGCAAAAGCTCGAAATTTACATTTTTTTATTTTCATTTTTTGTAGTTTTATTTTCGTAAGCATAGCACTAACTTTTTTGTGTTTTAATGAATATTTTTCGCTAAATTGTATGAGTGATAGCATTTATTTAATTCTTAATTATTATAAAGCATATTCAGTGCTCCTAAGTGGACATCGCCATAAGCTATTCACAAACGAGTCGTGTACCAAGATAAATATTTACTACATTTATAAACGAATAGTACTTTTCTTGTAATTGAAAAGCAATGGAATGCAAATGAAAATAAATTATGTTGAGAACTAAGTTAAAATTCATAAATTATGTTTATAAGTGTTAAATTCTTAAAAATTATCGAAAAATTTCATTGTACACATTGCCATGTAAGCGTTGAAGCCACAAACTTTGGTATACTTATTCTCTTACATCATTTTGGTTTGAACCAAATCGAGTTACAAACATTGAATTCTCGTTCAATGCACATACTTGGCGTTCTTTTTAAATTTTTAAATTAAAAAGCAAATAAACTGAGGTTCACTGCTGCTTGCTGTCCAATAACAGCTGATAAGACTAGCTGGTGTTCACACGTATCAATCGTTCATTTTTACAACAAAAATTACATAATTCAGGAAATTCCAAAAAAAAACAGTACAAACATTATTTGTTTCACAAATAATTTTCCGTTTGTATTATTTTAGCATTTTTCGTTTTCGAAAATTCTTTCACAAATCATTAGCATTAAAATTAGGTACATAAAATTGTAAATTTTGCTTAAACCAAATAAATACCACAAAATAACCAAAAAAAAAGGGTAAAATTCAAAATGTACACTATCAAACGCTGAAAGTGGACGACGAAATTAATTCAGGTTGCTAATGTTTAAAAATCACAAAGAAGCATAGCACTTAGAAAGGGGAATAAGAAAATAGACATTCCGTAGCTGAGATCTGTTTTGCGCTCATAGATCACACCAAACAGTGCGTCACTGTCACTGTGTTCTTTGGTTGCGCAAACTATTTGCTTTGTGAGAAGTGTCCTTTTTTCCACACACACACACCCAACAAATATATACACCGTTATACTGCTTGGGTAAATTCACTTCACGCAACTAAATTTTACATAGGAAAATTAAGAAAACTGCAATTTATTCCTTGCCACCATCGGATTTTTCACCGCATGTATCGCCCAGCACATCCACGCTGCGCACATCCTCACTCTGTATGCCGCTCTCATCGAACTGATCTGCCGGCTCAGCATCTTCGGCGATTTTTTCATGCTGTAAGTGTTGGTATTGTTGCGATTGCACGCCACAACCAACGCTCGTTGAGACAGTTTGCTGTTGACTTGCATTTCCCACACCACCACCACCACCACCGCATTTCTGCTTGTCCAGCGGCAATGTTGATGGGCGTATTTTCGAGAATGGAAAATTACTTTGATTCTCAATTTGTGGCGTATGCACAGCGACGATTTCAGTTTGCGTAGCAGCGCAATCGCGTTTCTCATTGGTGGCAAGTGCGTCGGCGACGCCGGCGGAAAGCAATTTCTTGACATTCTCCTGTGGCAAGTTGCAGAATAACGTTAGGCAGTTGAGTATGTCACGCATGGAGCCTTGCAGTTGTTGCACCTGTTGGCAAAGCAAATTGTATACAAAAAAATATATATATGAAAAGATAAACAACGATTTTACCTGATTGGTGAGCATTGTACACGTCTTGGCCAAGTCGTGCACCGCGGCGGTGGAGCTGTTATCCAGCGCTAAGGTACGCCCACTATCCGTCGAAACGCTGATATTGCTGCCATCCACAGTAGCAGTAGCTGCGTTGTCCGCCATACTAGCTGTGGCGCTAGTAACCGTTGCGCCACCTTGCATTGTGGAGACCTTCTTCCACAACGCATTTATAGCCTGCATTTGTAGTTGCTGTATTTTACGTTCATTCTCCAGCTGCGCTTTGGTGAGCTCCATGTCTTTAGTAAGCTTGCTGCGAGTAGTGAAAGAAATTAAAATTAACAATTAACAGAAAGACCAGAAGTTGGAAGATTCAATCTCTGCTTACTCAATATACTCGTGCGTGCGTATCTTGAGCAACTTTTCGGCTATATCCTTGGTTTTCTTGCGTGTACGATAACCGCGCCAAATCTTCTGTATAACAACAGCCGACGATTCTGTAGCATGATTTTCTGCATGCTGCGCACTGCCCTCTTTCTGTTGTTGTTGTTGTGTGCTATATTTGCAAATAAAAATTATTTTTCTTTCATCTCAGCAGTATAATAATTTTGCATTACCGCTGTGCCGCCTTGTTGCGTATCGTTTTCAGCTTGTCAATATTTATGTGATCGCTGTCGTCATCCGAACTCATGCCGCCCGAGCCCGTATCCGGTGCCACCACATGCATCGAATTGCCCGTTAGACGCGACTTCATTTGATTATCCGCCTGCGCCTGCGCATGTGCCGCCACGACGCGATTCAAATTCGATACATTGTTGTGTTGCAGCGTTATATTCGTGGTGCTACCACCGCGTCGTGGACTCATATTGGGGCTGTAGCGTTCCGTATTGCGTTTCAAGTGCGGACTGCGCATCTTCGGTGAATTGAGTTTGTTATCTAAAACGATTTCAATATCAATGACTCTCATATTTACAAACAATATATGACAGCTGTACAACAAAAAATTTGTAAAAAAAAAAGAAAAAAAAATACAAAATAACGAAATCTTTATGCCGAAGAGAAAAATATATTAAAATGACAATAAACGGAAATCACCTTTATTTTTGTGTGTTTTTGAATTTTGCATTTGCGTATTGATTGCGTTGACGGTGACGCGTTGCGCCACAGCGGCGGGACAAACATCTGGACTCATAAGCGCCTCCGGTACGGGCACCATTTTGGAGGCCGCGGCCAAGGGACCACCGACGTTAATGGGCATATTGGTATAATTTTGATCTGTAATTTGGAAAAATCCCGTAATTTGAGGTAGTACAGATTAAAAGTGAATGAATAGCTTCATAATTAGTTTATGCTCGATAAGTTAATGATTTATAACCTAAAATTATCATTTTCTAATCTAAAAATGGAATTTAATAATCTTAAAAAGCAAATCTAATCTAAATAGAATTTTCAATCTGAAAATAAAATATCAATACTTAACCTAAAAATATAATTTCCTAACCTAAAAATATTAATTTCACTAACCATTATATGGATTTGGCGTTATCGTGCGGGGCGTAGATTCCTGCGAATTATTCGTGCGTGTATTCATGTTACTGCCACCGCTGTCACATGTGCTTTGTGACATAAGCATTGAATCATGTTTGATATTCTCTATCAAAGAAGTGGTCATCGGCGTTGTATGGTTTATATTGTTCGTAACTAAAAGAGAATTTTAAAAACGGGTTTAAAAATTAGAAAAATTTTATTCACATTCAAATTACTTACTCGTTTCACTTGAAGTGTTGCCATGATAGCTATTCACCATTGAGTCAGGTGATCCTTGACGTCCACTTAGACGCGAAACTAAAAACAAATAAGAAGCAAAATTAAGATGTAAGTTATCACTAAACAAAAAACTAAACAAAAAAAAAAGTTAACTTCGGCTGCACCGAAACTATAATACCCTTTACAAATAAAAAAGTTTACATACAAGCACTTAATATTGATCATTCAATTTGTATGGCAGCTATATGTGGTCGGATATTGGCGATTTCGACAGAGAGCAGCTTCTTGGAGAGAGAAGGACGTGTGCAAAACTCAGAAACTAAGGGAGGCATGTCTAAATCGATCTTTTATATAAATAATTTATAGGGTCTCCGACGTTTCCTTCTGAGTATTACAAACTTTGTTGCAAATCTAATATCGCTTAAACAGGGAATAAAACTATAAGTTAAGTCAATGTGAATAATTTCTTACATCTCGGTGATTGTATGCGACTGCTAGTCTTTCGTCTACACGAAGAGGGTGAATTATTGCTCGACGCATTTGAATTCTCAGATATTTCCTCTTGCAATTGTCGTTGATGCTGTTGAGCTTTGCTTAGTATTAAACGCAGTTTGCGTTCATTCTCATTCTCCAATGCTTTGCCAATAAGTGGACAAACAGAGCTTAAATATTTAGCCAAGGTAGCTTGTTCACCAATGCGGAATTGTCGACCACGCCCCTGACTATAGAGCCATTCTGCTTTAAGACTGCAATTGAATTTATATTCTTTATAATTATATTGTATTTACAAATTATCTATGCGTTTTATACCTCTCTATGGGATCTACCACAAAGCCATCAATCACTTTTAAACTCATACACCAATTCAACACGAAAGGACGATGATCGAAGCCACTGTAAAAAATGCGTGAGAAGTAGTATTAAAATATGCAGCGAATTTCTTAATCATAAGCAAGACATACTCGACGTTGCCAGTCATCATAATACATGGGTTCTCGCTCAGCGTCAAACTGTGCAAATTTGACAAATTAGACAGCGTGCAGATCTCATTTAAATCGCTAATAGAATTCTTTGCTAAGGTTAAAATTTCCAGGGATACGGGTAAATATTTATCACATTGTCGGAGATGCGTTAAGCGGTTGCCTTGCAGATATAATTCCTGTATAGCAGAAAATTTTTAAATTTTTAAGCAAAAGTTTATTATTTTTTTTTTATGCTAAGTGTTTTACTTTCTTCTTACCTTTAAATTCTTCAAAAACGATATATCCGATATACTGCCTATACTATTCTCAGCCAAATTTAAATATTCTAATTTAACATTATTATTTAAATGTTCAATGGTTTTAATGTTATTGCCCTCCAAATTCAAATGCCTTAGATGTATGCAATCTTTTAGGCCCTCAATGGAGAGGATGCCATTGAATGAGAGATTTAGTTCGCGCAGACAATGTAAACGACAGACACCATACATGCGAAGCAGCTGGTTTTTACTAAGTGAAAGCTGAAATGTGATACGTAAAAAAGTTTGTAGAGTTTTTGAGTAGTTTTTATGCCAGGTATGCGCACTTACAACTTCAATTTTCAAATAGGAGTCGATGTTGTCGATCTTCTGCAGCTCATTCTCGTCTAGTTTGAGTACACGCACGTTTTGTGCATCTTCCTGCTTTGGCACTTTCTTCAATTGCTTACGCGAGAGATCCAAAGTGACTTTATCGTTCTCCTCTTCACCTGTCAGAAAAAAATAATAATATTATGGACTATATTTGAAGGTCGCATTCTGCTGTTATGCATTTTAAATAAAGCAATTACATTTAATTAATAATATTTACAACTAAAATATAAAAAGATTAACATTTATAATTTAAATCAATGTTCTTTTTATTTAAGTGAATACAAACAAATATGTACATATATAAAAAATTTAATTCACAAAATAAATCGACTCAGGTCGTCACGCTGCTCATTTATATACATATATGGTATATATACTTTATAGGGTCTCCGACGCTTCCTCTTGGGTGTTACAAACGTCGTGGAAAATTTAATATACACTGTTAAGGGTATAAGAAATTAGAAAAATAACTGTACAGCCCAAGGTCAGTGACTTTATAATAATTATGTATATGCATATATTTGTTCACACATATTTTAGCTGCAAGTTAATGAAAACTCAATTGAATATAATCAATATATATTTCTATTTTTTCCAAAAATAATTTACTGTTATATATAATATTTACATACGTTAAATCGAAATCAAGTCAATTAACGCATTTTTAAAAAAGCATAAGGACTTCTTAAGTTTAGTGACACGGCACTTCATAAATATCCTACTCTATGCTACCTTTACGATTTTAAGGGTATTTTTTGTTGTTGTGCGCCTGCGGCAATGTCGGCGATGACGACATCGCAACACATACCAAACAGTGTGTAAACAAAAAATATATGTACATAAATGAAGCAATTCAGGAAAAAATGTAGTCAAAACAAATCGTTCCTAACCATCATGATGACATGCATTTTCATCCTTGGCATAAAAGCGTGTACAATAAATGTATTATTTAAATTATAAAAACATATTTTATACTAATCTCCATCGCTAATAATGTAACCTACTCATTTTAGCAGCTCTTTGTCGCACTACTACTTCCTAACGCTGAAAATTCCAGCAGTTTGCTCAAACAACTGAGAAAAATCAATGGCCCGTTCAATTTTGCTATGTGAATGAATAAAATTAAATACTTCAATTGTATTGTTTATGCTGCCCGGAAAACGTTGACTGTGACGGCGACGTTGATGGTAATTGTAGCAATATTAAGCTGATGTTGTTTTTTTTCGGTGATAGGAGGGCGGTGTGAAAAATGAATACACCAGCGACTTGACGGTTTTTCCATACACTTTTCTATTTAAATTCTTTTTTTGATCTCTTCACTTTTCACAATGTTTCAATTAAAAACTCGACTTTATGTTGCAAGATCTTAGCATGATGTACAAAAGATTTAATTTAATAAAGATGAGCGAATTTTGCAAAGAATTTTTATTTAGAATTTTTCAAATTGAAAATTTTGGCAGCAGTAGCAGAATTTGATTTGCCTCGATTGATTTTTGTACATTTACCGGGTTGCCGCGAAAAAAAATTAAATGTCAGGGTTGCGTTCCAATTAGAAAACAAAATTTCCGATTGGTAGCGGAAAGTTGCCATAGTTTTAAAACAAATTAGTATTAAAAGGAAATATTCTTATGAAAAATATTATAATGAATGTTTATCAACTGACAAAAATATATTAAATATAAAAATATTTAATGTATCGGCATTACATTTTGTTGCAATTTTTGTATAAAAGTTGAGCTGAAGAAACTTTTAAATATGTTAGTCTACAAGCACCGTATTATGCTTTACAACACTGCCGGCAGCTGATTTAGCGTCCTCTGACATTATCTCTGACCGTGTTTATTTTCGACTGTCATTGTTCGGCGGATTTTTTGCAATTCCATTTACCTTAATATTTAAAATTCATTTATTTCCTACACAAATTATTCAAAAATGGCATCATCTTTTGAGACACGTACATTTGTAAACGGTGGTATGCTACGGAAATTCAATGGCCAAAATGTGAGCATATTCCTGCGCATCGAAGAGGAAGCCGGCACAAATCTTGTAGGATTGTCAACGGACAAACAAAAGGTTCGTGTAAAGCTGCAAGATTCAACGGGTGGACGTAGCGGCAGCTGGGTGGAAATCATTGGCAAGCCAATGGGTAGTGATGTTATCGAAGCCAAAGAGGTATTTAATGAAGGCATTACTGCCAGTTTCTTAATTATTAGTGCTCTTTTAAAGTATGCTTATGTCTTATAGTCCATATTATTTGCTGAAGATGAGCCGGGCCTCGATGAAGACGCCTACAATATGATGGTCGAGTTTTTGAACAACTGCAAGGAGCTTTACAGAAGCGGTTAAATCCCTTAAATATAAAGATCTTGTTATATGCAGTTATTTGGAATCGAAAATATAAGTTTGATGCGTTAATCAGAAATGGTATTTATTCGAAAATAATGCCTTGATGAATTGTATTTATAAAGAAATAAATGTGCTTGAAATGTGCAATGCATGTTTCACACCGTCTCCCCAAAAAACTTTCTTCAAGTAACATTACCGAATAGCGTCTCATTCTTTTTGTTTAAATATGGTGGCTTTGTAAACCTCATTTACTTTATGTGGCAAACGTTCCAAATCTTCCATCAGTGACATCTCTTCGCGCAAATTGTTCAGATACATACGTTGTAATTTACGTATCATTGGGTTAATCACTTTAGAATTGACAACATCATCCACTGATATGGTTAGCGTATCGCCTGAGCGACATTCAAGAAAGTCACCTTTAGACATTTCAGTCATCACATCTTTTTGGCTTGAACGTGTGTACACTTTATCGGTGCAACGCTTGCATGAACCTGGTGTTTTCTGCAAGCCCATTTGTCCCGTCTGTTCCTTAATGCTAGGATTAGCACCCTCGGAGTAAGTAAACGGTTCGGTGGTACACATTTGCTTTAAGGTCTCATCAATCACTTCATGTAGCTTACACTGTGATTTAACCATTTTGCGTAAGTCTTGTGAACTTTTTTTGCTAACTACAGTTTTTGATGACTTCTGTGATTTATTACTTTCTTCGGAACCTGGTCCAACGCCTCCCATATTTGAATCAGTCTCATATAAATATACATTAGTGTCCATGCCATGCATTTTGTGTGAGTTAGCGTGACTAGATAAAGGCAACGCAGGTGCTGGTTTTGATTTAGGCTGATAGTGATTAAAGCTACCGTTATCGTTGTAACTACTGCCGCGATAACTGTCGGCTTGACTGCTATGACCCGGAAAATGCATATCGTAGATCGCCCGATCTGCATCTCCACCGCTGGAGCGCTGCGCTTGTCGGCGTTGTTGCTTGTAGTTCTCGAATTCGGGCAATTTGCTCATGTGATTCATATGTTCCTGGCATGCCTGTGCTGTGCTTGGCTAAAAGTTTTAGCATTATTAAATATTAAAAGTACCATTAACTGCTATTGCCGCTTACTTGAAATTTCGATTTCATATGGTGTAAAAATTGGTTTTTCCATTGAGTACGATATTCTTCAGTCGTGTTGTCCATTGCTAAAGGCTAATTTAAAATTGATTTACAAAATATATATACAGCAGAGAAAAGAAGTTTAAAATTACTGATTTGTACATAAAAATGTTTTTCTAATCTCAAAAATATCTGTTCGTTTTGACTTGTGAATCTGATGTAAAGTTAAGTTTTTGCTGTAGCTGACATCATTTAAGAACAAAGTGTAATATACATATTGGCCTTTATATATATTTTAAATAATTAAAATTTTATTAAATATCCTTAAATAAGTCATTTTGTTCATCACATTCATTTTTGTAGGTTAGGTTAATAACAAGGAATAAAATGCAATCAGTAGTCTCTTGTATTCCCATCTCTACGCCGAGCTGATCGAATTGCACTTTGAGAACCGAAACGTCAACTTAGTCTATACCTTGGCAAATCTGGTACCCGACCTACGAAGACGTATTTTTTCATGGGAATCAACGGGGAACCTGATCTACAGGTCTGTTTCTATTGTTCTCCTTGCCTCAATTTGGAGAAGTCTGGCTGCGTAAAGGGTTCCGGAAATATTTTCCCTTTTATTTCACTTTGCTTTTTGTGTTGTATATTCCTACCAGAAATCATTTCGTGACTGCCAAGAATTTTTAAGACTACCAAGGTGTAGATCGTCGACATAATAGCCCTTGACTGCTAAAATCCGGTCAATTCCATTGTAGAGGCGTCTGCTATGGGAACTGACAACCAGTTCATAAATTATAAAGCTTTGAGACATTTAAGTTGAGGTCACACAGGCCCTTTACTTTCAGAATTACTCATTCAACAGATCATTGCTAATAGTGATATCTAGATACATATATCTAAAAATACCCATTTTATAGATACTACTAGAAAATAATCAATTTAATAGTACACCCTATCTCTTCCAGTTCATGCTGTCACATGCCTTATGTTGGACGTCAGCATCGCAACAGATGCCCTTAACTACCTCAAGTATGATGGAATACCAAAAATCGTCCGCGGCTAAATCCTATGTTCTGAAGCGGTAAATCCTTCTGAATACCTCGCAGGTCTTTCGGAAACCTGTACTCTCCACAGAGCTTAATCAACCCAAATTGGTTCGCTGAGCCAGCGTCGCATATCGCTATAAGGCTACAGTTCTGCCGAATTATCCCACAAGAATGGTATTTGCGCAATTTCCATGAAGAGTAGCTTTAAGCTCTCGGCCATTAATATTAGAAGAGTTCTCAAGATAACGTTTTGTAATGAATAGCATTGTTTTGATTCAGACTGGTAGGAATTATTACTTTATTAAATTATATTACTTTCGTTAAACGACTTTTATTACAAAATTATTTAATCACAGAAATGAATGAATAAGTTAAAACCCCTTCATAGTTGCAATGTTTCTATATAATTTTCAAATGCACGAGATATTTGGGCGTGGTCCGGACCCAGTTGTGTGTCCGCCATTATTGCCAAACGATATTGATCGCCAAAGCGATGAATATTCAAAGATAAACCTGGAAAATTTTTATAAAAATTATTTTACGTAATTTACAGAAATTCAAGAAACCCACAAGTTTTCGACTGCGGCGGTCTAAAGAGCAATACATCCTCCACCACATGACCCCAGAGTGTTTCAAAATCTGACGTAGCGCCGTGTATCTCCGTAATGGTAACGGGAAAATTGTGTGAGAAAAAATTCAAACAAACTTTCGTCAACACACGCGGCAACAGAGCGGTCAGCAGATCGAAACGAGTCTGTCCCAACGACGCCAGATAGATCATAATTTGTTTGCGACGTATATCTTCAACAATCGTGTGGACTTTATGGATGAGCTCTCGGCTGGGTGCTTGCAACGGCAATTGTAGAAAGACCACACCACCAATATTCTCTGCTTTATTGCCCGTGTTCTCGGTAAAGTAACCCTTGGCAATGGTGCGACACGTCGTATTAAGCATCTGTGGTACTGGCGCTTGACTGCTATGCACAGCGAAGTAGTCACGTAACGCGCCAGCGAGGCAGGCGAGTATAAAGTCGGATTCACAAGTCGTCGCATCAAAGTTGTGACGTTGACGCAGTTCAGCGGCATTAATAGACTTGGAGAATGAAACAATTTTACGACCCGAATATGACTTCAATTGTAGAATATTCGCTTCTTTTGAGGGTTTTACAAAGAGTTCTTCGTAAATATTCACTGGCGCCTTGAAGATTTCATAGCATATCTTGTAGAATTCGATTTGCGCATACAACACCATCGGCAAATATATCGATATGCGTCCCACATGCGTGTGCGTAAGATGAGTTTGTCCCCTGAATATGAGTTCGCGTATAGCCATCAGTTCGCAGTAGATGCGGTAGGGCAACAAGATGGTATTGTTGATATTGAGACGCCACAAGAATTTAGTCCAAGTCTTCACAATATTCGTTGGTTGCCACGATGTGCAGACTGACATCCAAGCAGACTGCCATGAGAGATTGCGTCGTTCGATCTCCTTCATTAGCAACATCGTGAATATCCTAAGACGGCCATAGCTATCCTTTTGCACATTGTAGCGTCGTTGCAGCTTCTGACGCAATTGCATTGTACGCCAATAATCGATGCACACATTCACAGTGACGATCAGTAGCACCGACAGCAGCTGCGTAACATTCGTAATATGTACGGGTCTATAGCCATCTGGTGTCTCCAGCGACTCAAACTCATAGATGAAAGCATTCCAGGCATTCACTATCTGCACAGCAATGTGATTGATCAGACGTCGTATGTGCACGGGTTCACGCACGAAATAGGATAGGGCTTGTGACTTCCGTCTACCACCGTATTGATCGATATCTATCAGTGGTTTACGTCCATTCTCCTGCAGCATTAATATTTCGCTTATGTGTAGATCTTCCTCTTCGGCTATGATTAGATGGTGTACTTTCACAAGCACATAGTAGTGATCGTCCTAAGAATCGGAGAATAGAGAAGAGAGAGGTTAAAATAAATTGAGTTGGAATAGAGATCTTCAACGATCACTTAATGAGTATACCAACCATGGTTTGTGCCGTAGCCGCCACATTTTCGTTTTCAGCCTCTGGTGTGTTTGTTGTATTGGACGTAATCGATGCAGTTGGTATAATAATTACTTGCCATTGTGGCAAGTCGGATGGTATGTATTTAGTGGCCAATTCGCTTACGAAATCTTGTATATTACTGTCGCTCACTGGACGTCCGCGATACGTACGCGCGCTGAGTACAACATGATTGTTTAAATTGAAGGAACTGAAAGAGATATTACGTGAGATTAAATAAAAGACTGTGGATCGTATCAAATCTCTTTCAACAGGTAGCGAAATATTATATTTCTAAAGAGTCTGTCTGAGTTCTCATATGTTTTTTGAAATATTGGATAACCACAAAGAATTAGATGTATGTATGTAACAGATTTCATCCTTAGATAGACAATGTCTTGCCTTTAAACATATTTCTATAATTTAAAACATGTCCTAGAAATGTATTAGTATATTGGACTAACTAGAATTTCTAAGGTGATTTCGTCAGATACCCAACAGATACGGAAAAGTTTTGCCAATCCCCTAAAAGTAAAGAGCAATTAATAATTCGGATGTGGAATTCAGAAGTTATAGGTTATATTATTGATTCTGAACCCAGTTGTGAGATCACAATTTCCATAATGCCCCTTGTGAGATCAAAGCCCTTCGAACATTCTTTAAGGCGCTGACCTTACGATTTAACTAGTATGTACAGCTGCTTTGGAGTAGGCCATTATGGGGAAGGCAAGCTAGCAGTAAAGTTCTACTGCTGCGAATATATCTAGTGAGCTCCTTGTACTTAAGGAACCTCTTTTTTTATATATAGGGGTAATTTTCCTATTGTCACTCATATATTAAGGCTAAAAATCATTCCGGTTATCGAAGTGTTTGGTACTCGATTCCTTCGTCCACTTTCGCAAGAGAAAAGTTAAAATTATTTGGCTTTCACACCTACAGTTATCCATATGGACTAGCTGCAATCGAAATCAAACGGTTCACCACCTTTGTTACGGACCATTCCAGGCGTTTTTGGTGTTACAAAGGATTTATTTGTAATTGTCTAAGTGTGACCTCTTGATCGGGCATCATAACCTAAGCATCCGAATGGCATTGGGCTTATCTGCTCTTATCAGGGAATATTATTGTAGATATACTTGTAGTCAGTTCCATCAATTATAACTTTCAAAATTAGGTATCCATCCAGCGACATAGAGAGAAACAGGGGCCCGGGGAGGGTATAATATATATAATCGGGCTCTCTGATTCAACAACTATTGGAGAAAAACTGAAAACAATTGCTGCAGAGCACCGGACAGCCCACCCTGCGAGATTCGGAGCCGATTTTCCGCCCCCCACCTCTCGTATCCATCTGGAGTTTCGGAATCCCAAAGGAGGTAGTGTACTTATGTCTGAAGGTAGTAAGCTGCGGTCTCAAAGAGCGAGAAAATATAACTTCCCTTACCTCTCGTCTAAGAAAAAAATAATATTCCATTTATGCCGTTAATATTAATATAATATATTGTTATATATTTCCCTGACAATAAATGAGATGCATATATGAAACCATTTTAAAGTTTACGCGAATATCTTATGTTTAAATTCCATTGAAAATCGACTCTCTCGTAATTATTAAATTTATTTACACTCACCTATTATCATTCACCCAAGCATAGTGACCCCAACAGGTCACCAGTTTTTGGCGCAATTTCGGAAAACGCAAATAACCAGCCTTGTCGCGCGCATCCGTCAGATTATCGGCATAGTACTGTTTTATTTGTTCAAAGTCACACTGACCTTTAATTTGAAGAAGAAAGTGAAATATTCCCGCATTGCGTGGTGTATCGACAAAAGTACGAATCTTCTTCGATTTGGAGATGGTGAGTGTGGGGTATTTGATGCTAAGCACATAATTAACCAACTCATCACTGTAGTGGACACCTGAAATACATTGATTTAATGAAGATGACATTCCAATAAAGGGTGCTTGTAGATGTAAGCTAATATGTGATTATAAAATAAGTAAATATATTCACTAATATAATGTTTTTGTATGAGTTCCGTTTTGGCATCTGAATTTTAGACCGCATGCCGGATCTGATTCGGAATCCAACAAAGCTTTATGGACACATATG